TCCTTGCTTAGGCCTTGCTTTAATCACAAACCTGGCTAAGTTCGTTAGCTGTCAATGAACTGTACTGTTGATAAGAATAAGTAAAAATCTCATATAGTGAGATAAGGAGATTATCAGATGTTGTGGTAGGGGAGTGATTAATTGCATATGTCTGAGAAAAGGATAAAAACCCATCAGGAACAGACATTTAATGTAGCAGACCATGAGATGACCTAGGCAACTAGGGACACGTTCGGAGCGATCATTAAGTTATCAGAGTGGCAGTTCTTAGCCCCAGAAAGTCCGTAACGCAAGACAGAGGGCAGACTAAAGAGCCTTTAGGAAAAAGAGCTGAGGGAGTGTCAGATGGAGAATGAACTCTAATGGTTGCTGTTACACTAAAACGCTGACTTTCGACTACAGTGGCAATGGCATGCATTATCTGAGCAAAACTAAAAGCTGAAAATTGACAGTGCACTGCTGTGCAACATTTTTGTTGCTCAGATTAAACCGTAGGTGCAATGATGATAATGACAGTAAACTACGACCAGAAATTAATCATGTATTACACCTACATTTAGTGATTAACGGCAGTGACTTCTGAAAAACTGTTATAATTTTGCCCACAGAACCAGCTAATGCTCTGAGCCAGATGTAACCATAAATTCAGCATTAGTGGCCCCAGATGTAATACAACACATTAGCCAGGAGACATAAAATACCAAGAACCTTCCTGTGAAATTCGTCTACAAAAAATGAATGAAACACTTGTCACTGTGTGAGATTCAGACTAGCAAGTGAAACATAAACACTCCAAGGTCAGGCCATGGTTTGGCTTACAGGAAGTCTTCCTCAGACATTATTACAATAAGAGGCTAATTCTGCTGTAGACGTTATTATAACTCTAAGAGGTAGTAGGTTTTTATCCAGTGGAAAATATAAAGAGAAGCAGTGCACTCCTGTCCCAAGAGGCCCATAGACGAATTGACCTATCCCTCTCCTGGCTGTAGAATGTTGCTTGCACTTCTACACCAGCAATACAGTGTGCCAGCGGTGAAGCACAAGCTAAAGGTTAAATAATTAAGACAGTGAGCGCCAGGCCAGTGTTTATATCTGTGTCGTCGGCTGTAATGGGGCTGGAACTCTTTAAGTTCATTTGGCTGTCCCTGAGCTCCCAGCACAGCGTAACCCTGGCAGAGCCGAGGCTTCGGAAAGCAGCTGCTTGGAGATTCCTGCATACTTCACCACTCTGTTTATCGGCCAGATTAACATGTTGACAGCCTCGCCGTTTGGAAACAGTCCTGCGATTTATGTCTGTGGCACGTTTCCAAGTGCTGCGGAACACAAAGAGTGGCAGGACGTTATGAGGAGGGTTCATGGGCAGCTGGGCGGTCCAATCTGGACAATTTTTTTTTTACCAGGGTTTGTTTAGGCATGGCAAAAAGTTCTTTGAAAAGGAACAAACATCCATATGTTTTACTTCTCAAAAAAAAAAACAGATTTTCAGCAGTTCTTCAGTGGAATTGTTTAGTGCCCTGACTGACAACTTTGCCACTAACAATGAGAAATGAAATTCCGCTTGAAGCTGACACTAAGACTTTCAGTCTGTGGTGGATGTCAACTCAATCAGTTCACTAAGAGGCCAGAGGAAGAAGCGTTCTTGCTCCATTGTTCACTATTTATTTTAAGTCCCATTACACCATGCTACTTCAAAAACGTCTAAACCTCTTCTGCAGAAACAAATTTGTCTGTGTTGTTTGGGTAAAATTTGAGAATGCTGGGATTGGAATTTACAAGGACGGAGGTTTTTTTTTCCCCTGAAAAGTCATGTGACTGTTGTGTCACTGCTATCATACAACAGCTGTTATTTAAGGTGATTACTAGCTTTGATTTGTAACATAAGACTGCAAGCTGTACTGTGTCATTAACATTCTGCATTATTTGATTTGAGTGGCCACAACCAGTCACAGCACACAGAGGAAGCTGAGCATGACACTAATGACACTGTCACAGCATGTCAAAATACAACATCATACATAACAATCACTAACCAGAACTGTAGTGCATGCTTTTGGTAAGAAAGTCCAGGGATTTCCACACACACACACATATATATATATATATATATTTTTTTTTTAAACAGATTTAACTTATAATCTGAAAACAATTCATACATTGATGAATTAATGCTTCATGACCTCTTCTTCAGTTCGAAATAGCCTATACTGAAAGACACAGTCCCAAGGACAGTGTCTGTGAACTTGTGGAATTAGAATGAATCATTCATTCTAATTCTGCAGTGTCTCCATGGAAACAAATCAGATGTTTTGAATAAGTTTCACACTGGTGCTACTGTGGTACATACATGGTTGCCACAACATATGAAGATTAAAAGCCACGGCTTGTGTTACTAATATCCCCTCCAATCATTTACGTTACACGAAAAACTCTGCCCAGAGCGCCCAAAGGCTTAGAACACAAAAATTACTCTTTAAATTCAACTTCTATCTCCTGTGAAACTCTGAGGAATTTGTTCAGGAAGTGTAATGAGCTGATATGAAAGTTCACTTTGATGGCCCTTTGGTTCAGAGATCCCACAGTTTTCAGACTTTCTTTCTCTTTGTACTATCATCAATACAGTCCATGCTTTTTTGATTGCTGAAACAGTTAGGAAGGGTTAGGAGTGCAAATTAACTATAAATCCTTAAACTGTAGCTTTGAACATGTCATGGCAAAGAGGTACGTGGAAGGCTCGGCTCTGAGAGAATGTGAGGGCAAGGTGATGACATCAGATTATTTATATCTGCCCTCTGTGAAAGCTTCCTTCCTCTTTCCACCAGACACATCACAAAATGTCACCAGCAAACCATGCATAAAAGCACAGTTATTAAAAACATACTCTGGTACGGTGCCACAATAAATTATTTAAAAAATAAATCCATCATCAATTATTAATAGTAGAGACTTACTATTTGCTCATTGGGTTGATTTATGCCTTTGCTTGAGCTTTCAGGCATACAAGTTCAATATGGTCTTATGGTATTATTTTTTCAATAAAAGCATCATGTAACAACATACACAATTTGCAGAACCCATATTTTCATGTTAAGCTAATAACAGCAAATGCATAGACGTTGTTCTGTTCCTATTTCCCTCGAGGGAGAGGATTTCAGTTCAAAAAGACCAGCTGGCTAAACTCCAGCTTTAATCTCTATCTGAAATAGCATGCTAGCCTTTGGTCAAAGCCTGAGGGAGCGTCACTCTGACCTCTGAGTAAAGGAGACATGCAGAGAAAAAGAGATGTTCTATCCCACACAAATCTTCCTGCCTGCAGTTTACAGCAGTTCATGACTTTACAGACTTACAACAATTACTGAACAGAAGACCCAATACTACTTGTTCAGGTAAGGGGAATCTGGTCAGAGTGTATCCCTAATTGACAAGGAGGTTGTCTAAGAGAGATGAGTGTGGGAGAATAATTTGACCGTTTAGAGCTGAAGAAGTCTCTTCCAAACTCTCATGGGAAAGTTTGCACTCAGCCGTGGACGAGATTCAGCTTAAAAGAATAACTCCACATTAACTTCTCTACACGTTTCCTAGTACAGGCAAGGAATACAGAGCAACTGCAAAACAAACAAGGCATGCGGTGGTATGAGACAAGGAGTCACTGTGTTGACTTGAGCTGAGGTTTGTTTTAACGTGAGGCTGTAAGTGAATAAGTGTTTAGTTAACAACCCCAGGTTAAAGTATCACCATCCCTCAGGTGCACTTGTCAGAAGGAATTCTAGAATTGTTAGTTCAACAAAGAGAACAACCTCTGAAAGGTCAAACATAATCACTCAGGAAGAGAAAGTTAAATCTGACAGTGAAAGTAATGTGCAGATATACCAAGTACAAAAGTAGTTCTTGTTTTGCTACCATATGCAAACTGTGCCAACATAAGTCAAAATAGACATTTGCATGCTTCACTCACGAATATGTTCTTCTGTAGCAACTGTGTGAGTTTGGACAGTTTATAGAACGCAGGCAAAAATCCCATTCATCTTAAAGAAAAACTGTAACGCACAACTATTGTCAAAATATCGGTCAGTTATTAAGACTATAATATTAGTTTCAAATGATATTTATGTTGCATGTGCATGTGAAAGGTCACACTGTAATGTTGTAGTTTTCGTTTTCAGCTCATGTTAGCATGGTGGCGAACTTCTTTTTAATTAGCTACACCAATATGACTAATAGTGGGAGTAATAATAGATTCTTAGATGCATGGCAATCTTCTCGTGAAGGACTGATTCATGAAACAACAAAATCTGACATATAGTCTGTTACATAGGTTCTGCGTTTCCCCTACTGTAAAATAAACTCATATGCACCCAGAACCTTTATAAAGTCGGATACTTTCACAGTCTGTGGAAGTGGAAAAGAAAAGCAGGATCTCACTAATGCACACGTTTGCAGTCACAAATTGGTCATAATTTTGTGTATATGAAATACAAGGCCCATAAAACACAGTAAACATGACCCAACATAAGAATGCAGCTTTGCAGCAACCACTGTGGCAAACTGCTAACAGCTGTACTGAAACCATATGTGACACAAAGAACAAAAATCAGATCAAATGATCAAGAATTATTTTATATCACATCTTAGAGCCCTGAATCAGAATCAATAAGGTGCCTAAAGACTCCCACCAATAAACATGACCCAGCTGACCAAGCTGTTTGCTACTAATTTTTCATTAGGTTGAATGAGATTCTGTGGGCGGAGCATGGATAGGTCATTTAGACTTATCTCATCATTTCCTCATCAGTATTAAGGTAATACCATATGAAGTGAGAGTTCAAGCCCTGGGTTAATTATAACCAGAGACAGGATATCCTCCTCTCCAGTGCAGGACATGTACTACTCCTTCTAGCACTGGATAGCACAGTTCCTGCCCAAACACTTGGGCTGCTGGAAGGCTCTTAACTAAAAATCTAAATGCAGAGGGAAAGGGTAAAGGTCAATATGAGTTCACCTACTTGAGTACATGCGTTGAGCCGTTGATCTGTGTTGCTGTGCAGGGGGCTCCAGGTGCCAGAATGGAGGGCCGTCGGTAGCGCCTGTGTCCGCAGCAGAGAATGATGAGGAAGGCACGACGGAAGGACTTGTTGAGGAAGGCATAAAGGATGGGGTTGAGCATGGAATTGATGTAGCCCAGCCACAGGCAGGCGGCCCACAATTGCTCGGGCACTGTGTAGTCTATGAAAGGGTCCACCACGTTGGTGATGAAGAAAGGAGCCCAGCAGAGGCAAAAGCAGCCCATGATGATGCACAGAGTCTTGGCTGCCTTGGTCTCAGTGCGCATGCGGTGGTTGCGCTGGTGGTCTGCGCTGTCCGAGGCGGCATTGCCTGCTCCACCCGCCCTCTGCAGCATGCTGATTTGCCGGGCGTGTTCGCGTGCTGTCACATAAATGCGCTGGTAGGCCAGGACCATCAGACCTAGCGGGATGTAGAAGGCCACCACGGAGCAGGTGAGTGCGTACGGTTTGTTCACCATGAACACACACACCGTGGAGTTGCCACTGAACTTCCGTGCCTCTATCTGCCGAGGGAGGGAGGGATATTTACACGCACAAGTTACACATTGAGCTTGTACACACTAAAGAAAATGCCACACATTCTTTTCCACTCTTTTGCTGAGCTTTTTGTTTCCTGTGAGTTCATTTGTATTCCAGTCTGTGGGCCCTGAGGGAACTGTCAATTTGTCAATGGTCAATGCAGGAGATGGTTCGAGATTGGAGGTGGTTACTTACCACATTTAAATATCATCAAGCTGAAAAGTGATGACCTGGACAACATTAATCTTTAAAAACTTCTCTCAGAAAGGCCTTTTAAAAAACAGCCTTGACCTTTTAAATCGTAAAGAAAATGCCTCCAGTTCAGCATTTTTGAGATGAAGCACTGGGAATGTTGCCTCAAAACTTTCATGAAGTCCTCTTTAAAGTTCTGTGATTTTCAAAGAAATCTGCAGGTATACTTTCCATTTAAGTCTTAGAAGCTGGTTGCAAGTTTTGCTTCTTATGGTCCAAGTGATCCCAAACACATTCAATCACGTTGAAGTCCACTGACCAGCTTCTTTGTTTGACTTGAACGTTTTCTTTATTGGGCTTCTTGACAGCTACACATTCTTTTAGACCCATAGTGTTGAGTCTTCTCACAGTAGAAGGATGGACAGAAACAGTTGGATTTTTCTCTCAAACATGAAAGCTGTAAGTACTGTTTATCTGATGGTGACAGTTTTGGTGGTCTACTAGACCTTACACGGAGTCCCATTTTCTCTGCATCTTTTAATATTTTTCTAAACTCCAGTTTTGGAAACTCCTGTTTTTCACTTATTTCCCTTTAACTTCCCCCTTCCTTATGCAAGCTGATAATCTTATGTCTAATCTTTTAAAAAATATATCCTCATGCTTAATGGCTGTTTTGACTGGAAAGTAAATAAATGAAGGTTGGTCTCTGTGAATATGTATGGGCCTAGGTGGTATTGCGGAATCGATTTGGGTGTGTTGAGAATGAGCAGTGGATCTACCATGGGAAGTGACGGTGAGAAGAGCATTAATCACTGTCCAGCAGTGGCTCTGTCTGTGCCACTCACATCATATCTGTGAATCATTAGGCCTTCCGGCCACTGCTACAAGAACTGATCAATAGATACACACAACATATTTTTCTCTCGCAAACTGTAAACACTTTTCATTTTACAAGAGTGAGTTTTTTTAACTTAGCTGGAATGTGACCCAGGCTTTCACAGATACTTGACATAAACCACTAATTAGCTCCTTTGAGAAGTGTAGTCAATGGATCTGGCAGTGTTCCTCATGCTCCAACTTTGGAAAATAGCTGTCCGAAATAGATATCCATTAGCATAATGCTCATGCACTGAGAATACTGCAAAGCCAAACTAGTTAAGACAGTGCTAACACCTCATCGGCATCCCTATGCCAGGGTTTGTGCTCATAATTCTTCTGTGTGTCAACTGCGAAATATAAATGATTATGTACATAAAGATAATATGACATTGCTAATTTGCACAAAATGGAACAATGTCACAAACAGTTTATGAAACCACTCTGTTATGATACACCTCTGAGCTGAATCGATAAGTACACGCTGATTCTGGGAGGAAACATGCTCAGGATGCCATTCAAATACCATTTCCTCTCCCGGATGGCTTTCGTTATAGTGCATAAATCTTCACCCAGGCCTGTGTTTGTTTATTGAAAAGCGATGGATTAGGGGCTCTACCTGGGTACCTTGACATTTCATTTCCACTTGATCATCACAGGACTGACTGGAAGTTATTCATAATGCCCTTGCTTGCAGCTACTGTCTTCCTAAATACAGCCACACACTGCAGCTTTGAGCACTGCCTTTAAGCCTATAATGTTTAACCTGAACACAAAGTGGGGCACAAAATCAAAGAGAAGCATATGAAGAATCAGAAAAAAATCTGAAAATGCTCTAATGAAACAAAACATCACCTGATTTACATGTTTACACAGATAATTATTTCAGTGAATGCCTAATTACTTTCCCAGTCTTTTAATAGGGCATTTGAATAATCCAAGCTTGTTTACATATTTGTCCTGATTCCAGTGAAGATGAGAGAGAAAGAAAGATGATCTTAAAAAATTAGCAGCCAAGCGCATTTTTAAACGTCATTAACACAGGACTGTGACATTTGACGCATATGACTCACCAAATGATTTATTCCAATACTGTTCCAGCCTTGCATTATTGGTAAGAAGGAAATGACAGTTGGGATAATCCAACATCCTCCTATCATAAGAGCCACTCTCATTGGAGTCATCTTATTCCTGTAGACCAGAGGCTGACAACAGATGGCATAGTACCTGCAACAAACAAGATAAACAGCATTTTATTAAATTAAGCAATTTGAATTAAGATTCTGTGAAGTAACTGTCTTTATTTATAATAACCATGCAAATGCAATAAGAGATGCTGTATTGATTTTAAGTGTACAGTGTATGCTTATGGAAATGTTGCATGAATACTATCTATGAATGAAAAGATGGTTTTAAATAAAAAAGAAACTAGTAAGCTGCTCTGGCTGAAAAAAAGGAAAACCTTTTTCAACTAAATATAGCACAGAGACCCTTGACCTGCTACTGCATCATAACCTTTTTGTTCTGCCAGGATAGATTTCCAATAGCCATCTTTAAATGACCCCTGATCTGAACCCTAAAGGACTAAGAAGGAAGTCTACTTTCTATGGAAACAAGAGCATAGCAACACAAGTGGGTGTTCTTCATCCATACAGCTGCGCTATGCAAGTGACGTACAGCCTGCCATAATGAACATGTTTGGAATATAGTCATAAAGTTTTGATGCAAAAAGAATAATGATGGGCTTTAAGCAAGTTTTGATGTAATCTTCTGCACAACGGAAACAGAAAATAAATCCGCATTAATGCGAAGAAAACAACTCTGATGCTGATGCGTAGGAAGTTGTTGATGAATGAATGGCGCTCCCATTTTGTGGAACAAAGAGATGTGACAGTGTGAGAGTGGAGGAACGCCGCTGATATAATAGCACAGATGTCTTGGTGCGATGGGGCCGTACCAGCCAGACCGTCAGTAAAAATAACTGTGGATCCGCACCAGATGCAGTGCAACAGCAAGGTTGCTTCACTCTTATCAGGGTGACATTACTACTGTTACAAGACTGAGTTCAAACACATTGCATGCAGAATTTTTAAATAAAAAATGAAATAAAAACAGCCATATAAGCATGTACAATTGTTTACAGTACATTACACAAGGGTTTACAATTTGCCATTTCTGAATATGGAAATCAAATACTATCAAAGTATGACATCTTTTGCATGTTAAGCTGGCCACAACTATTGGGATGTTGTCAGCTGCATTCTGATCTCTCTGTATAGCCTTGTAAATGCACTTTCTGTGGCAGGTTGTGCCTGTTCAATGGGAAACACACGATTACAAGTAGTTTCCTGCTTTGCAAACTATAACTGAGTGTTTCAGATTGATTGATTTCAGATTTTGAATAGAAAAGGAACTTCACTGCATTACATTTTTAAAGGCTTTTAGTAGCATTTAGTAGTGAGATATTGCTGCAAGTTTGCAGACGCATTTGTTTCCCGCAGGTTCATTTTGTTTGTAGCTCTGTGCATCAGTCAAACTGCCTTTCCTGTCAAAGGTGCTTTGTGGCCACAATGAGTGACAAAATACAGCAGACTCTCTGAGGATAAGCAGACTTACTTGCAAGACAAATTATGCCATAATCTAATTTTATTCATTTAATTCTTTACCAATTTTTACATTTTTTTCCTCATGTTTCCTTCTGAAATTGTTTATTTTTGCAAACACTGATTAAAAAAAATCTAAGTTTTTGATAGCAATTTTTGAATGTAGCACTACAGTTTTCCATTTTTTCCATTCCAACTTATTTGCAAACTTGATATGTATAATATATCGTGAAAATGCTGCATTGCCCAGCCTTAGATTGTAAATATTTATAACTGTTTAAAGAACATTATACAGAAGTTTACTAGTTTTAAGTTTTGAGTACAAAAAACTTGTTTACAGTTTGCTTTCATATTCTTTGTTACATTTTTCCCATTTTACTTAAAAACTAATAACATAACATGTACATTAAGTTATCAGTACTGCAGAGCAAAGTACCTAATACTGTCTAGTGAAAGTATATAACTACTTTTCAAACTGGCATGCTTCCAAAAGGCCTCCAGGTGCCTGCTGCTGGGCCTGCTGCTCTGAGCCTGCTCTAAGGGTGCTGAATGCTGTGTAGCCTGTCGCTATTGACAGTGTGGCTGGTCAGCTCAGGCAACACTGACAGATTACAAGGAAATAAGACTCAGCACTGTTACCCATGACCAGACAAGGGACAGAGCTCTCCACATTGTTTTTGTACGAAATGTGGGGGGATCTCTCCATCTCTAATTCTCCTTCTGTGACCCAGTTCTGTCAGCACCATGGCCGGTGTGTGCCGGGTTCCTGTTTATCTGCTCACCAGTCGGTGTGACATTCCTGGCATGTATTCATTACAACACATTTAGCGCTGGCAGAGAGGCCTGTGCTGTACCGTAAACGATAGCCATTCATACCCCATCACAATGGCCAATGAACCTTTAGGTGAACTGGGCCTTGAACGTTCTGTCCAAGAGGCAATGGCCAGGTGACTCAGTTTTCAAATTCCGGTGAACTGGAGCAGTGACTTCCATTAAACAGCCATGACGGATGTTCCCAGTCCATCCGCTTGGCTAACTGATGCTCACTGCTGACGACGGACAATATATACCCCGCAGCTATGTTTGTGTCGAGGGGCTCTAAGCTACATCCAGAAACACTATTGATTCTACTATGACAAAAGTTTGAGTGAGCCTCACACATCATCCTGTTGTAACAAATGAGCAGAGGTTGGCAGCCTGAGGGGGAGCAGCAGGGGCAAGTGTTTGACAGCAGGCCAGCAGAAACACAACCTCTGCATTAGTCACTCTATGTGTGCTGAAGTAGTCTGGACTATGTTGTGTTATCTGGAGCCTGACAAAGCTCTCATAGCAAGGGCAGGCGTCTGAGCTGCCAAGAGAGCCGGCTCTTTACACCTGCTCACCTGGCTTATTTTACTGTCACTGTGGCACGTGCAGACCAGTATCAGACAGCACTAATCGCAAATGCAATAGAAAGCAGACAGGGCACTGGCGCTTAAATGATAATTACAGTGCTGGTGATCGATGAGGTTGGGTAATGCTGTTAGTTTTCAGGGCTGGCTCAGCAATGAGAGATGGATTTGAGAACATATAAATCATTACCTGAGCCAGCTCCACAGCCACCGACAGTTAACAGCAACATTAAATTTGTAACTAGCATACATATTAAACTGAAACATGTTCCATTTTTTTATACACATCCATGCCAGTCAATCTTCAAGTTTGAGTGATCGGCCATGCATTTAAGTTTTCCTCTGAGACCTCAGCAAAGGGGTGAAGGGGAAATGAAAAGTTGTGCAAAAAAAAGCAGACGCCAACTTTGGCTGGCATCGGACAAGTACTCACTGTAGAAAGATGGTTTCTAATTAAATGAAAAGCAGACGTCTGGGCTGTGGAGGCAAACAGTAAGCTCTAGTGACTGGCTGTAAGCTATACAGCTGAGGAGGGCATACAAGCGCAGAGAAGCATAATGTATGTCACACTCCTTTCAGGCACGTCTAAAAATAAAGCTCTTAAGAACATGTTTCTGTTCACCTGTCCCCTTGCCTTTGGGCTTCTTTGAAGCAGCAGGATTCACTGATACGGGCAAGCAGTATTGGACACTGATTGCAGGTTTTTTCACTCATAAGTGCAGCTATTTTAAGTGAATTTTCATTCATTACGTTTCAAGAAACATGTCTCAGCTTTCAAATGTGCTAATTCTCCTTGACTTGTTCACGTGTCATACTAAAGTAGAGATGACAGAATGGACATAAATTTCATGTTCTTTCCCTATGGAATCCATGCAGGGAGTCCTTGGGGGAAACAACATATGTCTCAGGCAGTCAGTTATGGGCTGTAAGATGTGCGCCTGGGGGAATATAATGGTTCCTTATGAAGGTCATATAAATGCATGATATTGAGAATTTATTTCCTATGCTGTAGCGCTCCATTTTGCAGAAGAACAGAGTGATTTCCAGTAGCACTGCATAAAGCTACTGTAAAATGTTGACTCATTTGCTTCTCACCTATCCATATAAGCACATGCTTAACACACTTAACCTTCCTTAACACAACAGTCTCTTGTAATTACTGGCATCTCCCAAACTCATTTGGATGAGAACACTATAATCACTACTGAACAAAATGAACCTCTCCTAAACAGAGAGCTGTTCCACTAGAAAACAAAGCTTATCCAGGACTTATTGCAGTGTACACATAATGATGCTGAAAATCAATAGTAGGGCCATAAGTGGCTTATACTGCCAGATAGGCCTAATCAAGCTCACCATTAACCTAATGGACTTCATGTGGCATTAGTCAAAGTCAATTTTTAAAATAACATGATCCTCATTGTTCAGAGAGAAGTTTCTCTTATTACTGTACATCACAACAATAGAAAAAGGTCAGAACAAGATAGAAAGGTGTCTAGGGATGTAACATGCTTTGTAATCGAAGCAAACTTCAATCACTTATATTTAGAAGCAGAACTGGCAATTTTCTGGTTCATAAAAGGAGCTCTTAGTAAGGAGTGAATGATATTTCTAAACATGGTCTGATCCATTCTGTATATTTTTGCCACTCCTTGAGCATTTTCTGAGAATAAATAAATGTTTCAGTGATTGCAGCTCTTCTTTGGTGAGATTCCAAATGCTGTGACTTTTTGTGTTCGTCAGCACAAATAACTGACTGTTCATTCAACACTGCTTATTCAACCACAAAAAAATCATCTTCTATCCATAATGATAACTCTTGATGATAACTTGTGACATTATGCATCAGTTTCTGTGGAGACAGCTGCATTGCAACTACAGCACGGGTAAAATACAGCAATGATAAACCATGTTTTTCTGTTGAACTTCGGAGGGAAAAAGTGGCAGCATTCAGGAACGGGGACAGAATATCTCTAAAGAGGCCAAAAACAGGCTGGAGGAAGGGATTAAACCATCAAAGAAAAAATACTCAGAAAAGCTATAAAACCCTGTTGCTGCCCAACTTCAGTTTTGAAAGGTCTCTAGAAGATCACCAACTACAAGATGAGAAGAACTCCCATTCTCCTGAATGACCACCAACTCACTGAGCTCTACTGCAGATTTGAACGCACAAAGTACAATCTTCAGCTCCATCAATGAGCAGGACGTCAACAGGCTCTTCTGTAGACAACAG